GCCTGTGATGGCCCGCCCGACAAGGCCACGTCTGCAGCTGTCCTCGAGCTTGGTGTCAGCGGTGTCCGTAATCGAACCACGCCCTCTTGCGCGTCGGTTAGTGGAGTCATACGTGGCAGTGGCGCGCGATTTTCCGCGCCCTCTCTGGCTGTCGTCGCGGCGTCAATGTCGAGGACGTCTTCCGGTGCTTGCCGCCCTCCTCCGCATCGTCTTTCGCCAGCGTCGTCTATGCGAATGCCGCCACTCCCCCGCCTCCATGTGTCGGGGTGCCTTCGAGGATCTTCCTCTTCTTGCTGGCCATGTGGCGGCCCTTCTTCTCCCGGGTCGGCAGTTGTTGTGAGAGGTTGGCGGCGGCCTTGCCACGTGCGGAAGCGCGTGAGGACATGGCGCAAGACGCACCCGCGGTGACGATGACAATCTGGACGACGAAGGCGAGGATCTACGGAAAGGCGACGATGGCGGTGAAGACAACGGGCGAAAAGACGTGCTCGCCGAGGAGAATGTCGCCGAAGACGACTGCAAAGAAAACGCAAGCAGTGAAGATAACTACGTTGGTGACGAACGACGAAGGCGCGGATGCAGGCTACGAAGGCGACTCGAGTGGCGCAGACGACTGCGACCAAAAGCAAAACACGCGCGGCGGGCGGCGGGGACTGCGTGAGGTAGAGAGAGAGAGAGTGYTGTCGTGCATTTGCGCAGAACGCCCGCGTCCTTATAAACACGTGTCACGCGGGGTGGACGGCAGCACAGACGCAGCGTGAAGGCCAGCCAAGGGTCATTTCCAAGCTCCACGATAAGACAAGAAAAACGCAGGGTCATCGTGGCAGGTGAGACGAAAGGCGAAGGGTCGCGGGCAACGCGGCCGTGCATCCGTTGCGCCACCGCCCTTCGTCTCGCCTCCCCTCGTCGATTGTGGACACGGAGGGACCCCACAGGCCGAAATTATGCCCCCACAAACGACTCCATCCCACTCCATGCCGGCCATGAACGAGGGCTGCACCGACATGGAAAGTGGTGACGGATGTATGATTCAACAAATGCTTTATCACAGATTGATGGATTTTCACACAACCCATTCCAAATGCGGGCACAGATCAAGGCAATAAAAATGACACACACACAACTTCTCTCTCTTTAACAAAACACTTGTCATTCGACACGAACACGGAGAACAACCTCCACGACATCAAAAAAAAAATTACAAGATATGTTATCTTAATGCTGTCACTCCCGAAAACAGCACAACATGTCACAGTCACGATGTAACAGGCCTTGAAGGCAACTTCGATCCGACCAGCCTAAAAAACACACACACACACACCCGGAAATGGCCTCCGTCACTCACACCCGTCACTGACGGTGGCACCACACTGCAAATCGTCGCAAAGACCTACAACCACACGCGCATCACGAAACCCCCGCCGCCGACGAGATGGACTGTGCCATCGCCATAAACCCCACCCGACGAAAACCTCCTAAGTGCGGCGCAATGCGAAAGTACAGGAAACTAAAGTGCGCCAGACAAGCCGCCGCATGCACGCCAACGCCCACCGACACAGGTAGCGGTGGATTAGCACTCTCTCTCTCTCTCTCTGCATGCCGCCCGCTCCCGATGACTGCTCGTCTTCACTGCGTACCCATTCGCTCTGCCAGTGCATCCCGCAGGATCAGCGCATCCCCCGTCGACGCCTCCATACACATCTGCCTCAACGGCCGGTGCATCCCAAGGTCCACCTTGCGACGAACACCGTCCGGCCCGACCTCCCACAGCAGATTGTCGTCGAACGGGATGCCCGCGTCGATGAGTATGTTGTGCAGAATGCAGACGGCGACGAATTGCTGCGGCAACGTCTCCATGTTCGTCTTGTGGGAGTGAAGGAACAACCTCCACATCCCCTTCAATCTGCCGAAAGCCCTCTCGACTGCTCCCCTCGCCGTCTTCTGCTTGTTGTCAAACCGAATCTCCGACGGGTGCTGTGATACACCGCCGTAGGGGACGACTACCCATTCCGAGGGGGGGTAACCATTGTCGCCCAGTAGATAGCTGTTCGTTCGCACACCGAAAGGCAGCATGACAGGTGGCCCAGTGAAAAGCTCCCCTGCCTCCGCACGCGCCCACAAACTGGACAGGTGGACGATCCTCACGTCATGGCAGCTCCCCGGGTATCCGACGAACACATCCAGCACGTGCAAGTTCAGATCGGCGACCACCTGAGCCTGGACGGAGAAACGGCGTTTTCTGTCGTAGTAGTCCTCTCCGAGGCAATTGGCTGGCTTGTCGATGAAGATGTGGGTACAATCGATGCAGCCATGGCAGTTGGGGAAACCCTTGTCAGTGAAAGCGTGCAAGACGACCGCCTTTTGCAGCCCCGTTGGCCACAATATCTTGTCGCGGTACGCACTCAGCAACGCCGATGTAACATCCCGCACAGCCACCAACCCAGACTTTCTGCCAATGCCGAAGCTGCACGTCCCGCTCTCGTACGTCTCCCTCGACGCCCATCTGTACAAAGCGAACGCTACGATGAGGTCAGGCTGGAGGGGCTCCCTATAAAACTTGACACGCCGTTGAAGGAAGGAAGACAGAGTTTCCGCTATCTCCTGGAACACTCGTGGCGACATGTGCAGCTTGTCCTTGAAGTAGTCTTCCGTCGAGTCATCACATTGCCGCAGATCCTCCCACACCCCCCCTGTTCGACGCTTCATCCACCACCTCGGCGTCGCTCTAGGAAACGCTCCACACCCCATGGCATAGCACACCTGAAGGACAGCGTCGCAAATGGCACCACCGCCCTCTTCGTCCACATGAATGGACTGCAGCGTCTTCTTCCGGCGTGCGCGAATGGCTGCTCTCATCCTCCCCTCCGTCCTCTGCTGACACCTGATGAGTATCATGTTCACGGCCGCTGCCACAGCCGCCCTCTCCGCCTTGCTGAGTGTGTCATGAACCGCGTCCCCGTCCACGTCCATCGCTCGTCCTCGCCAAGTGAAGAAGGCTCGACTTCGGTGGGAACAACAGCAATGGCGCGTCGTGAAAACCCGACTGTACGGCGTGCACGTCGACGGCGAAGGTGCGCGTAGCGAAGCACACAACATTGGCGATCGTGTGACGGTGGCCGTGCTGCTTCGGACGTATTCATGGACGTTCGGCGTGCCAGCAGACGCCACGAAGCCGCCACCCCGTACCGAAACAGTCTCGCCGACGAACGTTGCTGCCGTCAGCCGTAAGGGACACACGCGCCGCCGTCATTCGCTTACTGGGATTCGAATTTCGAAATTCGAATCCGGGACTGCGCGCCGTTTTCGTAGCCTTTTTTTTTTCGCCGCGTAAATTCGAACTCGCGCCGCCCACAGCTCCTGGACCAAGGGCGACGCCACGGACACAACCCGCTGGACCAACCTCGCCAGCCCCCCCGCGTCCGCATGTCGAAATATGCAACTGGCCGCGGGAGCACCCGAGGAATCGTCCTCGGGGAACATTTCCGAGGATGAGTGGAACGAAGGCGGGAATTTCCTCGGGCGACTCCAAGGAATCGTCCTCGGGCCCTGAGGATGCCCCAAGGAGTGTGGAACGAGCCCCAAAGACATGTGGACTGCGGTTCTTTGGACTGCAACACAACCAGGCTGTTGCCATCTCCAGAGGGATGGGCTATCCATTCCATTTAGGGCATCTCCACAGCACTCTCGAAATGTGCAAAATGAGAATGAACTTCCTCCTAGAACATGGCCAGATGCACCCGCTGCATTTTTGTCTCTTGACATTTTGAGAGTCACTGTGGTGTGGCCACGCCCTTACTTCAATCTGTGTTGATGTCTTGGGAGCAATCATTGCTGAGTCATGCTTGATAGAGTTGTCATCCTGTCAGAGTTTGGGCACAATTGATGCTACAGTTTGCAAGACTTTGAATGGATAAGCACAGATTCAGATTCAGTCTGGAATACAGACCAGGTTCAGAGAGACATGATAGTACACTCTAGCATGCAGTGTGGCCACAACCTGTCAGAGTTTGGGCACAGTTCACTTCGCATACATAAGCACAGAGTCTGAATCAGACTGGAATACAGACCAGGATCGTAGCAGTGCCTTGATAACACACACTACCAAAAAACAGCATGCAGAGTCACCTGACCCCTGTCAGAGTTTAGGTCCAGTCCATTGTTTTCTGTTTTTTTTTTGTTTTTTGTTTTTTTTAACAATCTTCTGTTCTTCTGCCCAGGGGTCTGGTCCCACCTACGGTTGTTGAGTTCAGAAACCTCAACGGTGTGACGCCATTTCGACATTAAAATATTCGAAACAAGAAATAAAAAAACTGAAAAAAATGCTAGAAACAGCTTTTCTCCTGATTTTTTATAACATAACTCCGAGAAATGAAACATGTCTGGAACAGTCGGGTTGAACGTCTCCGTGAAAAAAGGATACTCCCCGTGGTGAGGGGGCAGGAGGTCACCATTTGTAAAATGGACAGGGACGACGTGGATGGCCAAATCCATTCATTGCCCAAAGAAGGAAACGAGTTTGATGCCAGACAGCCAAACACAGCTGTCAGAGTTCCTCCGTTTCAGGATGCAATGAGGACTAAAAAAACAAAAAAAAGGAAAGGCACTGAAGTTGAAGTTGAGAAACGTACCCTACCCTCGGTAGGGTAGTTTTCTCAACGGAAAATGGCTTCCTGCCCAAACCAAAAGGGCCGATGCATACTACAAAACGGATTTCACGTCAAAAAAAAAATCTACAAAAGGACTAAATCTAATAGGTTATTCTCCTGTATTTTGGTACCGTTATATTCGCAATACATCAACTGCAGAGCTCCGTCCCACCATGCCACACGTGATAGAAAGCTCAGCGTTGATCAAACTCAACGCTGTAGGTGGGACTAGACCCCAGGGGCCTGGACCCACTAGCAAAGTATTCTAGGGCGTGTGACACAGTTTTATGGTTTTTTGGAAAATACAAAGTGATTTTTTATTTGCATGAATGGATCGTTTTCTGATTTAAAATGAATTGAAATAGCACATAAAACTATGAAGAACAGCTGTGCACCCGAATTCATGGGTTGGTACGATCTCCTTCACGTAAGTCTTCATAGTGATGTACCGTGGCAATAAAATGTGTCCACGAACACATTCACGAGGATGAACAAGTAACGGTTATTGGGATACATTCCTCGCCATGTATCTCATGATGCCTCTAGCAGGCCATCCGAAGGACGCGGAAGCCTTCCTGTCAGATGCACCACAATATTCGAATTTCACATTTCAAGTTCTATTTCTTAGAGCCAAAAAAAAAAAAACGAAGTCCGGAAATCAACCCCCCCCCTTTAAAGCCCATAAAATCGAGACTTCCCGCCCACGCAAAGCCACGAGCTATCATGTCCAAGTTAGTCCAACTTCGTTTTCTTTTTATTTTCGACGCATCTCATTGGACGGGAGGTGGGCATCTTTACAGTCCCTGCTCGGAAACTACCAGGCCGTCGAGATCCGATCTATTCGACGGCCGTACTGAGTCACTCGATGCCACACGTGATCGAAATCCTGAACGGCGTGGTAGAATACCTTTCTAGTGGGTCCAGGCCCCAGGCCCTTTCTTTTTTTCTGAAATGGAAACATCTATCCAGTCTATGCTCTTCGAACTCCGCATAAATATTATGCCTGGACCCCACAGGAATGCGGAAAGGAAAAACTTTGCCGCAGAACTGTTTGTGGGACCCCACCACCTGCGGAAGAGGTCCTGGAAAGTTGCGATTTATTCTGCGGAACTGTTTCCTAGGACCCCACAGCCCCCCTTTTTTGACCTGGAAGAGGCCAGGAATCCATTTTCACTTCGTTCGCGGCCCAGAAAAGTCCCAGGGGAGGAAAAAACGCCGTGATTTTGTGCCGAGTGGAGAGTGTCGACAGGGGCGACATCTCCTCCCCTGGTAGGACAAGAAGGTGTCCACGGGTCTTGTTCCGCAATCGCCCCCCCAACATCATCCACTAGGGGACCTCACTGGTTCCTACGCTCCCCAGCCGACCACCAGGACAAACCACCACTTCCTTTTCAGGACGGTGGGCAGGGGCGTTTCCTGGAAAATTTTGACGTCATTTTGCCGCAAAACTCACTTCCGCGGTGGGGTCCCTGCGGAACTCTTTCCAGAATTTCCAAAATTCTTCCACCGACTTTTTTGGGCAGACGTCCTTTCCAACGGAATTCCTGTGGGGTCCAGGCCTAAGCCCAGACTCAGATTCGGTCTGGAAAACAGACCACGTTCGCACTGCTAGCGACATGATACTACCGTCTTCACCCTAATAGAATGCCCGGTCATCGTAGCTGTATCTGGACTCAAAATTGCACCGAATACGGCCATAATGACCAGGCATTCTATGCAGGTGAAAAGCGTAGCAAGCATAGCAAGGAATTCTGTCTTACTTTTTTTTTTTTTTTTTTTAACCCTACCAGTGTTAATGTGGCTGATAAGAGCAGACACCACTAACACCTGGGTAGAGACTCCATCTATTGGTGGGGAGCGTCACCTGCTGGAAACCGGGTCCAACGTCCAGGAATTCTGTCTTACTGTCTTTTCCCCCAGAGTAGAAGGTACAGTCATTATAGCTGTACATGGATCACCTTTCAGTCCAAATGCAGCAAAAATGACTGTACGTTGTGTTGGGGGCAAAAAGGTAGGCTAAGGCCTGGACCCCACAGGAAAAGTGTCATTTGCGGGTTTCAGTGGAAGGACCTCTGGAAGAGATTTTTTCTCAAAAGGTCGGGACCCCATGGCCAAGGCTGGAAAAGGCAGTGTTTCCGGGTTAGAAAACGCTGGAAAAATTGTGAGGGACCAGGAGAGGCCACGGTCCCGCGGATGTCCGTTTCAAGGGCAGCGCAATTCTCTCACATGTCCGACCTTGAGTAGCGAGCAACAAGGCGTGACAGGTGTGCGACTGTGGGGCTACGTCGTTGGTACCGCTCGTCCTCATGGAGGTGGCCAGGGTGTGACGAACTACTTTCTGCAACTGCGCGATCTTCTGCGCAAGGCTACGTCGGGGGTTGAAACAGGTTAAGTCGGGATGGCCTGATGAATTGCGTGGATGACCTCACTTTACGCGTCCTAGTGCTTTTGCGTCCTTTGGGAAAAAGCGGGGGCGAGCTGGCCTGGGTCCGTTACGGTTGGTAGTTGATCGCGCTTTAGTGAGCGCGACGAATAACTGTTGCCATAGCTTCTTTCTTGTTCTGCTGTGGGAATGGGGCATTTTTGGCGTGATTGTCGCGCGGGAGAATCTTTTTGAATTTAATTGCTGTCGAGCCCCCGCGGGCTCTCGGAATTTGCTTTGTTTGAAATTCCTTTTTGCAACTACGACTTAGATTAGGAATTTAGGCGCACCTCAATTTTTGATGCACATCGCTTCTTGCTTGCGCACGCCTTGCCGCGTTCGGATCTGCGCTCTGATTTTTCTGCGCCTTAATCCTTGCATGTAACTGTAATTCTGGTTTTGGCGGGCATAATTGCTACTGTAATCCTCTTGTTCTTGATATCCTTTGTGGCACTCTTATGCGCACGTACTTCTTCCTCTGTCCTATTGGCCTGAACACATCCATGACCGGATCGATGTGTGGAGTGAGGCTACGTCTCCCACGCCGCGGCCTAGCCATGCAGTCGTAGGCACTCCCTTCCTCCTTCTTCCCCGTACTCAGACACAATCCCAGGTATCGCGCACACACGCATGCATGCTATAAATCTCGTAAGCGCAATTAACTCCCTCTCTAAGACTTTTGGAAGTTGCAACGGTCTAGAGGATCAGCTAACGAGCGAGATTTGGAAGATGAGTAGAGAGTTGGGCGATCCGACGAGCTGGTGCTGGGCATGCAGGGTTGACGTGGGGCCCACAACAGACTGCGGCACACGGGCGAACCCGGCTGGCATGCTCGGACTAAGCGGGGTGACAACTCTATGTAGGTGCGAGGCGACGGACTGCGCTTATCGGGGTGATGAGAGAGAGAGAGAGAGAGAGAGAGAGAGAGAGAGAGAGAGAGAGAGAGAGAGAGAGAGAGAGAGAGAGAGAGAGAGAGAGAGAGAGA